ATATATATATATATATATATATATATATATATATAGTGAAAATAAATATAAACTAATCTTAATTATTTTTATTTCAGTCAATAATGTAATTCTAAAAATATCTGCAAATTAACCGAGATGCTATCACAGACAATATTTTGTCACTCTTAATATTAAATAAATTCCATTCTGTCATGGAAGTTTAACATGGGTGTAGTTAGAGGGCCAGTTGACAAAAAATCGCAAGCATAGGCACGTTGAAGGATTTTGAAAAAAAATCATCCTGAAAAGAGTAAAGAATCTTTGAGAGTGATTCTAATTGGGTTGCTAACAGATATTTTTTGGGACAAGTCAGTAATTGCCACGTGGATAGATTCTTAGGTAGACCCACAAAGCAAGAATCCTTGGTTGGGGATATATTTTAAAAAGAGCATAGGACCAAACGCAGCTTTATTACCTTCGCTGCTAAGCGTTGATAGACAGACAGAGGATGAGATGGGCCCATGAGAAGAGAGATATGCGCACGAATAATCAATCACGCTATTAAAACTACTGCTCTGCTACTTGCTGCCTAGGCTACGCTACTGCGCACCCCTGTCTTCAATCTCTTACCCTGCGCATCTTCCAATCCTTTAAAACTAACACCATCGTCACTCTCGCACCAAAACCTTTCGCCAAAAACTCGGGATCTCAGATTCCACGCGCCAAACCATGTCCAAGGCGCGCGTCTACGCCGATGTCAATGCTCTTCGTCCCAAAGAGTATTGGGACTACGAGTCCCTCACCCTTCAGTGGGGGTAATGTTCCGAACCCTAATTTTTATGTTAATGTTTCTGATCTCAGAGGGAACATTCCACTATCAAGGGAATTTTATTGTATGATTGTAGACTGTGTAGATGGTTTCTCAGCTGCTTTTTTTTTTTGTTTCATTGTTCCTCGTACCAATGGCTTCGGCAATCGTGTCTAGTATTTTGTATTAACCGACTGATGGATGCGGAATTGAGCCGTTTGTGTTGCACTGATATGATTTTGATTGGATCTGATGCTCTTGCTTAGGTTTTGTGTGGTAGGACCAGACACTTGAGCTGGTCCAGAATCACCTTGTACTGAAGAGTTGATTGATCAAGTTTGTTCTCTGTATCCTTAATATATCGTACATTTTTTTTCTTTTTTTAATTTTACCGAGCGAGTATTAATTGCTTCCTTTTTAGTTTATTTTCCATTTAAATGGAATCGGTGATATTGGAACACTTTGATGATTTCTTGCCCATCCTGGACCAAATTCTTTAATTTTTAGTTTAAAAAATATTTCTATTTATGTGCCATATTTTTTATTTCAGTGATCAAGATGATTATGAAGTTGTGCGAAAAGTGGGCAGAGGGAAATATAGTGAGGTTTTTGAAGGCATTAATGTTAATAGCAATGAGCGCTGTATAATCAAGATTCTGAAACCTGTCAAGAAAAAAAAGGTACTCCTTTATTAGTTTGTCATGCTTTTCTCCTTACTTGGGTACCTGCACACTATGAATTAAGCCAGCCAGTGCTGCTTTATGTGAACTATTCTCCTAATCTGCTGCATAGTGCACCTGTTTTTACTCTAAAAAAATTCACGCACACTCAAGCATTTTTATGAGGTCAGTGTTGTATTATAACCTTAAAATTCATTATGAGATGTTAAACACGACATAATATAATTAGTTTTTAACAGAGACTATAAATGTAGAAACACTTCTATGCGCTATCAACAAATAAATAGAAGGCATAATGACATTATGTGCAACATTGATATGATAATGGTTAGTTATATTGCAAGTCAGTGGACCCTCCGTATAGGGTTATAGGTGAATATTTGAGCTAAGCTTGATGAATTTTGTTCAAAACGGCTAGTGCCATTGTAAAATATCCAGAGGAGGGATTAAGGCAGACTCAACTTATTCTTTACACGGTCACACACCCGTCAATTGATTCATCCTATATATATGAATGACGTGGGTCTGCTGCACCTGCAATGCGGTTTTGCAAATTCCATTTTTGTGAATCAGTAGGATTACGTTGTCCAAATCAGTAGTCCTTCTTATGATGCGTTGGAATTAATAGTATACTTGTAAGCTCTTTTCCTTTGGATTGACAAATGAGTTGTTAATATTTTTAAATTTTGTTAATAGAATAGAATTCATATTTTCTTAACTTTATTTTGTTTGATAATATGCCATTTCAAATTCTTTTGATTTTTTTTCTTACTTTGTGAGTATTTCAACACCCTTTTCCAGATTAAAAGAGAGATAAAAATACTTCAGAATATTTGTGGAGGACCAAATATTGTCAAGCTTCTTGATATTGTCAGAGATCAGCATTCCAAAACTCCTAGTTTGATATTTGAGTATGTCAACAGCACGGATTTTAAAGTTCTGTACCCAACCTTGACTGATTATGACATACGCTATTACATATATGAGCTCCTTAAGGTGAGATATGTTCCTTCAATCTCCTGTATTATCATTGGTAGTTGATACTGCCATTTTTTATGTAATCTCCATAAACATCATATTGTTTTTCCTTAAACCGTGTTTGAGTATCATATCTTAAAGAAGGCTCCGTGCATGAATACAATATGTTGATGTGTATAAGCCCTATAATCATTTTTTATGTACCCAATTTATTATTTTTAAATAATTGAGCAAATGTGTATTGAGAACCTTTTCTTGTTTTCTGAATGCTTTAGTGTTGAATTGCAGGCCCTGG